TGCTTCTTAGAATCAAGGGAGCATCTGAAAATAAAAACTCACTCCTTAAGATATTAGAGATTTCATTCCTTCTATCTCCAAAAGCAAACAGGAATAATTTAACAGATTATCTTCTCTTCAATTATTACTTTTAAAGAATCAATAAAAGAGGAATATTTTTAAGAGAGAAATTTTGTAGCCTCAAGCCATAAAGAAGTCAGTGTGATTTTCATCAGAATATGAGATCTTTGATAATTACCTTCCCAATGAAGGAGCCTAGAAAAGGAAAGACTGGGGAGAATAAAGGATTTTTTTAAGCTTAATTTAAGCAAAATCTTGCTGGTAAAAGTGAGACTGTCTTATTCAACATTGACTGATTTTCTGTGATGTGTCCAGCATTGTGCTAAGCAGAAATGTCAATAAGCAAATGAGAAGCAAAACAGTCCTGGTTCATATCTTAATTTAATTTAGAGATGATAGTTTTTTCTTTTCAGGTGAAAATAAAATTCTTAAGAAAATTACTATTTTTCTAGAGGTCTAGCCATCACAATATAAGATTAATTTTTTTTGTCAAGTAGAAAGAAGCTAATGTACCAATATGTATAGATTAGATGATTAACAAGGTTAAAGAATGTAAATAATTTCAAAATAAATATCCAAAAGTAATTACAATCTTACTCACAAGAATTGGTTAGTGCAATATAAATGTAAAACATAAAAATCTATAAATAATTACCAGTTCTCCCTATTGAAATCCACTTCTGTGTTTTCCAATATTTTGCAATTTCAAACAGTAATGTGATAAACATATTTGAACTTGTTCTTATTTTCATCATTTTCTAATCATCTTTAAAAGTTATTTTCACTGTTTGTATAGCTCTTTTGAATAGCATGTGTCTGGACTTACTTTATTTTTTAATAACTTAGATCTTGATAAGAGTTCAATTGCTATATTCTGTTGTGATTATTGGTACATAAGGAATATTTACATCATCTTATTTTATGTCTTCTTTTGATTATTTTCTGTTCTTTATTAAATTGGCCAGGTGTTTCTTTATTATTTTAATTTTTTTTAACTTTCTCCACCTCTTGGAAAGATATACATGCTATTTCCTTTGTTTCAGCGCTCACACTTAAATATTAAGACTCAAAATAGTGAAAGTTAATCCACCTCTCCAGCCCCCTTTGTTTGCAAGAACACTGGAATTCTTTAAAAACAATCTACCCCAAAGCTCACATTCCCTATTAACATTTGGTATTTTAGTTCTACCAGCTTTTACACTTTTTAAAAGATAATCCTATTATTTATTGTCAATGTTTATTTCGATTTATCTACATCTGCTACTTCTTTCACTTTACTCCTTCCTTTTGGCTTCAATATTTTTCTTGCTGAAGCAAATTTTTAGTAGTTCTTACAGTGAGAATCTGTCCAAAGTAAATTCCTTCAATCTTTGCTAGAAAAACACCCTATTTGACTATATTCTTACATAAAGTTTAACTTTGTTTTAAAACTTTAGGTGATCAGTTGTTTTCCCTCTGTGTTTTGGATTTGGCATTGTTAGACAACAATTTGTTGTATATCCATTTGGCATTGCTTTGTAAAAATAACTCTTCTTTCAGAAAACATAATTATTTTTTGTATTTAATGTTATATGATTTTATTATAATTCAACCAGGTGTGGATGTGTATATTCAACCGGTTTAATATTTAGATAGTTCAGTCAATCCGAAAATTCAGACTTTTATCAATATGGGAAATTTTTCAGTAATATATTATGTCTCCCCTAATTCCTCTTGTTCTTGCATTGAAACACCCAGCCTTCATTTTGTTTCTATATCTCCTAAAATCTGTCTCCCATGTTCTTATCAATCTACATTATCTCAGATTATTTCCTACTCTCTGTCTTCCAATTACTATATTAATGCTTCAACTATATCCAATCTACCTGTCAACTAATCCAAAGATAGTTTATTATTATTATTTTAATAATTTTGAATTTTGTTTTTTTGATTATGTGTTTGGTTATTTTTCAATAGTGCCTCTTCCCATATCATACTGTACAGATCTTATAGTATTTACTAGAGGTCCAAAATTCATGTGCATGGGGTGGGGGGCTGGGGGTGGCTCAGCCTGGCCTGCGCCCTCTCGCAATCTGGCACCCCTTGGGGAATGTCCGACTGCCGGTTTAGGGCCTAAACCAGCAGTAGGACATCCCTCTCGCAATCCGGGACCCCTGGCTCCTAACCGCCTACCTGCTCACTCCTAACCACTCGCCTGCTAGCTCCTAACCACCCACATGCTTGCTCCTTACTGCTTGGCTTGCTGCTCCTTAGCGCTGCTGTGGAGCCTGCCACCACAGCTGCACTCGCCAGCCATGAGCCCGGCTTCTGGCTGAGTGGCGCTCCTGCTGTGGGAGTGCACTGACCACCGGGGGCAGCTCCTGCATTGAGCGCCTTCCCCCTGGTGGTCAGTGCATGTCATAGCAACTGTTTGTTCTGGTTGTTTCGGTCGTTCTGCTGTAAAGGTTGCTGGGCTTTTATATATATAGATTATTTCCTTGTCTGATCATTTTAAAATTTTCTTATTTTAAGTTCTCTTTCAATTTAATATATTACTTCCAGTTCTCATCTCTTTAATGTACTTGTTTGAGTCTCTCTCTCTCTCTCTCTCTCTCTCTCTCTCTCTCTTTTTCTCTCAATATTAATTTCATAATAAGTAATGATTTACCTCTCTCTCTCTCTCTCTCTCTCTCTCTCTCGATATTAATTTCATAATAAGTAATGATTTATAATTTTCAGGTAAGTTCATACTCATCAGAACCTATATCTAGTGAGAATTCTATTTTTCCCAGCTTGTAAGAGTATCTCTTTAGAGATATTAGCCTCTAATAGGCCTTTTCCCTTGGGGGTGATTGGAGGTATTGATTGCAAAGTATAAATTTGGATTTCATAGAAGGGGAAAATGCCTGAGATTGTTATTCTTTTCAGGTCATTTCTTTTTCTGTCTCTGTCTTTCGCAAGGTATAAGTTTCTGTCCTATTTTCCTGGATTGTTAAGAGTTTATATCGTTTTCATTTTATGAATAGATCTTTTCTTGTGAATCCTGGTTTTATACAGTAGCTCATTTCTAATCCCTAAAACAAAGCGTCTCTTCCTCTTGCAGGGGGTAGTAGAGCCCAAACTCCTGCCAGGCAGGCCTGAGGGTCCCTGGGCTCCAGCGTCCATTCACTGCTTCATCTCCATGTTCCCTCTTCATTTGGAGATTTTTTTTCTTGTTTATATTTTGAGCTCAGCTGTATAGTTACATTTGTCTTTGCCCTATCAAATGGCACTTCTGTGTGCTTGAAATGGAAAAGAAGATGTCCTGGGTCAGCCAGGTCCGGCTATTTAATGGAAATCAACTTTGCGTTTACATGAAATATTCTAATTGTCAATTTAGGTTTAGTTTTCTATGCAGAATGATTTCCCCCAGGGAAATAACTAGCTTCTATTTATCTGTGTTTCTATTTTGTCCAACAGATGAACTTATCACCTATGTCCTCATTGTACTCTTGCCATTTGCTTGTGTTTCTGAATTTCGCTGGCTGCTGATAGAAACTTTGCAACATTCGGTAACTGCAGCACAAACACATGCACCCGTGGTGACCTTTAGTGTTTGGGGGGTTTTAATGAAGCTTTGTCTGAATGATGGCTGGGAATCCAGATGCAGAAAGCAGGCTTTCCCAGTCTCCGTTATTAGGAGGAAATGAAAACAGAAGCATAATTACAATGTATGTCTTTGGTAAAGCTGCCACTTGGGATTAGAGGTAGGCTTCTTTTTATTAAAAATGTTAAATAGTTACTTCAAAAGTTCAATGAATCAATTAACATTTCTTTGTATTTAAGCCTGCATTGGGGAGGGGAGGGGGGGAAGAAATTTGAAAATACTTGGCACCTATTTTATTCTTAGCAAGAAAACAGATTTTGAGTCTTAAAAACAATATAATTTTGTTAAATATTTTCAGCAAGAATAATATTGTTTTAATTTGTCAATTACAGTACACATGTGGATTTGTGTAATTACCTATAATAATTTCTCAGAAAGTTTGCAAAACAGACATATGGTCACCTTTTGCTTAGGTTTTATGCGTCCATATACTGGTATATTAACATGTGGCAGGATTGCAATTATATCTATCTAGATACTAGGGAGTAATGTGCCTTTTCCAGGAAGATGGTGGGGTGAGTACCATTTCTGAGAAACGACTCCCTTTCTTTCTCTTACAGCAATTAAATTAGAATCCCTTTTTCTTTTCTTAATCCTTGCTCCTTACAATGTCTTCTCACTTCTCTGTATGTTGCCATCAGCCAAGCGAATTTCAGAGCTTTCCTTTCTATAGCCTGCTTTAAGAGAGCAAGTACATTGAAAACAATGTTTCAAATTATGTCTCTGCATCTCAGAAAATTTATCACAGAATCAACAGCTATTAAAGTAAAAATGGCCTGCTTTATACTAGAGCAGGACTTACCATAAACAAAATCTCACAGCTTCTATTTGTGAAACTTCTTCCAGCAAAAACAGATAAAGTCCAACAGGATATTCCAAATTTCTAATCTAACCAGATAAGAACTAATTTACCACAGGAGCTGGCACACTGTAACTAGCAAGAAAAATTCCAGTGGACGGTCTGTGTTGTTGTCGCTGTTGTTTTAAATAAAATTTTAGTAGAACACAAACACACCCATTCATTTCTGTAATAACGATGGCTGCTTTCTGGCTACATCAGTCAACTTGAGAAGCTGCAAATATTTCAGCGGAGACTGTAAACCCCCAAATACAAATATTTACTCTCTGGCTCTTTACAGAAAATGGTGCATAGCCTTTTTTAAATTACTTTAGACCTGCAGTGGGGTCAAATTTCTTAAGCTAATTAATGCATGAGGGGCTTTACCACCAACATGGCTTTCTAATCCTAAAGCCAAATATTAGCTTGAAAAGGTAAGATGGCAACATTTAAAAAAAAATTATTGATTTCAGAGAGGAAGAGAGAGGGAGAGAGATAGAAACATCAATGATGGAAGAGAATCATTGATCGGCTGCCTCTTGCATGCCCCCTCCTGGGGATCGAGCCTGCAACCCTGGGCATGTGCCCCTGACCAGAATCGAACCTGGGACCCTTCGGTCCTCAGGCCAACACTCCATCCACTGAGCCAAACCAGCCAGGGCAAGATGGCAACATTTTTGTTCAAAACATTTGTTCTGTGTGGGAGGAGGATTATATTTCTGGCTCCTTTAGCATCAGACCTGGGCATATAACCTCTTGCCCAATGAACGGTGAATTGAATAATATGTTTTACCTCCAGAAAGCTTTACCATCCAATGCATGCCTGGCTATGCCATTCTTCCATCTGAAAGGAGACCTGCGAAGTCTTAGAAGTTCTGACAGCTTGAACCTTTAGTAAAGGCAACATAGACTAGAGTGGCCACCAAGCCACAGTATTTAACAGCCTGGGGGAGAGATAAACCCTTATTCTGTGAAAGCCACCTAGACTTGTTGGGTTGCTTCTCATTGACAATAAGTGAACTGAAGTTGACTACTAAAAAGTTCTTTGAAGGAAGATGTTTTAATTTGGCTCCTTGAGAGATGAGAAAGCTGGAGCAAAGATCAAATAAGCAAAGTCAGCAACAAATAAATCAATGATATTTTTTAAGTCTGAGTCCAAATGAAAAGCAATTTAAAACTGTTTATTTTCAATAAGTCAGTATCACATCAAGTAAACAATATCAGGGTAGATTACACAGAGATCACACAACTGAAAAAAACACAGTGGGAATTGAAATAAAAACAAGAATCACTAAGCCTCAGTGGAACAAAGTTAAAGATAAATCTGATTTTGTCTCATTCCTATTACACACAGACAATAAAAAAATTGGTGTTTAATTCCATTATTTGACAAGCTAGATAGATGTCTGTTTTATTGTTCATGATTCATATACTTGCATCTAAAAAAATTAAACTAATTTATTTATATATATATGTGTGTGTGTGTGTGTGTGTATATATATATATATACATACACGCCCAGTGCACGAATGTGTGCACTGGTGGGGTCCCTTGGCCTGGCCTGCACCCTCTCACAATCCGGGACTTCTTAGAGGATGTCAGATAGCTGGTTTTGGCCCAATTCCCCACAGGCCCAATCCAGCCTGATTCTGTGCATTGAGCATCTGTCCCCTAGTGGTCAGTGCATGTCATAGCGACTGGTGGACCTGTCATTCGGCCGTTCGGTCAACTGGTCACTTAGGCTTTTATATATATAGATATATAACATCCTTGGACTAACTGTCATAACTGACTTCAAAAATTTAACAATGAAATCACAAATAGTAAACCAATGAAAAGTTTACACAAAATGCATATGCTAACTGATGACAAGAAACTGTGTTTCTCTAAAGGATAGAATAGAATCTTAATATCTACTTTTGGCAAATATATAGAAAAAACATGTATCTTGTGTCCCCCCCCCCGCCCCCACACACACCTCACGTGTGAGATTGTACAATGATAAGATCTTTTTAGGAGGCCACAGCTTGATAGGTATCAAAGATCATTACAATGATCATAACATTTGATCCAACAATTATGCAACTAGAAATTTATCTTAAGGAAATAATTAAGCATGTGAGAACATAGGAATTTACAAGAATGCTAATTGAATCATAATTGATGATAAAAACATTCTAAATTACATATATATCCTAAAATGTGGAACTGGCTAAATAATCATGCCAGGTCTTTCTATGGAAATCTATTTAGCAATTAAAGGTTTGGTCATAAAAATATAATAACATAAAAACATGGTCATGGTGGATTATCCAGCAGAACAAACCAATGAACAACAAGATAATATTCATTCTACAGAGCAGGAGTATATATTAACATAGGAAAGAAGATATATACAAAAGTGTCACTAGAGATTAACTGTCGATTGTTACATTAAGGATGTTACTTCTTGCCTTCTTGTCTGTATTTTCTAATTAGTCCATAATATGCACAGATTGCTCTAGATGAACAAGTAACATTTAAGTTAATAAATTGTTAAACAAAAATAAGAATGCTGCAGGAAATCTGTGTATATGATAAATATAAATTATATATTTATATATACTATGTTAACTGTATTATATATTACAAGAGGCCAGGTGCACAATTTGTACATGGGCAGGGGTGTCCCCTCAGCCCAGCCTTCACCCTCTCCAATCCAGGACCCCTAGGAGGATGTCTGACTGCTGTCAGACATCCCTCTCAAAATCCAGGACCACTGGCTCCTAACTGCTCATCTGCTGCCTGCCTGATCGCCCCTAACTGCCCCCCCTGCCAGCCTGATTACTCCTAACTGCCTCTGCCTGCTGGCCTGATCACCCCTAACTGTCCCCCCTGCTGGCCTGGTCAACCCCAACTGCCCCCCCGCCGGCCTGGTCGCCCCTAATTGCCCCCCTGCCGGTC